CGTGAACCCGGCTTGTATCTCGTGGATGTCCCTTGATTTGGGATCTGGAGGTTGGGTAACACCTCTTGGTCGTGTTCCTCGAGTCAGTTTTTGTAGTGTTTCGGGGCATGTTGTCCTGCTGGGGGAGCACTCAGGTGTACTGTTGCCATGTGGTGATGTACTTGGTCTGCACCAATGTTTAGGTGGGAGGTACATGTCAAAGTAACATCTACATGAGGGTCCAAGACTTCCCAGCAGAACACTGTGTTGTAATAAGATTGCTGTTGTGGCTGATCAATGTAGTTACTCAAATATACAAGTGCACACAAATCAGTTACACATCACAGTAATGTGTGTTTGACCTTTCAGTTACTATCTGATATTGAGCAATTATTGTACATTACAGTTACCAGTCCCATTAGAATTGTAGCTCCATTATTTTGATAATTTCGGAATCCATTTTTTTCTCACAAAAGTGAAGTCCAGTCATTTCAAAATAGTTATAGTTATGTGTCCTTTTGTGTTCTTTTGTGTTGCTTTGTTTTGGAGTATCAAATTGTGTAAGAACCTATGAAGAGTCAGCAATTCCATCCATCCATCCATCCATCCATCCATCCATCCATCCATCCATCCATCCATCCATCCATCCATTAGCTACACCCATTCGTAGAGGGTTGTAGGGGAGCTGGAGTCTATTCCTGACATTGGACCAGAGATGGAGAACATCTGCCAGTCTATCAAAGGGTTATCACAAAAACACTCACGGTCAAGGCCAATTTGGAATCACCACTTAGCCTGCAACACATGTCTTTGGACTGTAGGAGGAAGTTGGGGAACATCGAGAAAGTCCTTGCAGACAAACGGAGAACATACATACTCCAACCAGAAAGGCTCCAGCTGACCAGCAAGTTCCCACCCAGAACCTCCTTGGTGTGAAGCAACAGTGCTAATGAGGGGTCTGTTTTGTTTCACTGTGAGTTAGATGCATGGTTGACATCAGTTTGTTCCTTCTGCATCCAGTGGACAGACATGATAGGATGGACTGAACTTAGCACAGGCATGAAGCTGTGTGGAGGCTTTTTCCCTCTGATGCAGACATGGAATCCAGGAATCCATGGCATGTTATGTTGTGTCTGTTTAGCTGGCTGGCTAACGTTAGCCACTGGTAATCCTGCATTTAGCTCCCTGGGTTTAGAGTTTCTTCCCTGTGAGGATGGGACTTGTGCAGCCATCAGGATTAACATCAAATATCTTTAAATTCTGTTTATAATCTCTGCCAGCTCCTGAGGGAAATATCTGCCTGCTTAGCTGTTCAATGCTCTGGGGCTGTAGTCAACTAAAGATAATCTTGGTCAAATAAAACTGCGCTTACTCTCCAACCAATCAAATGGCTGCAGTGGGAAAAGAAATCTGAGTGTTATGTCTGGATTAAATTAGCCTCAGTACACCGAGTACACTCCACCTGCTAGTCCTATTAGTCCAAATGAATTCTGAATAAACATGAACAGCTAGTTTTGCAGCATATTAAATCATTTTAACCTGGTTGTTTTATACTAAAATGAGCTGTCCTTGTTAAAAGAGAACTGTTATCAGCTCATAATCCTGACACAGGAACTGTTCAGGAATACAAAGAAAACAAGTTCGCCACCGTATTTAGACGTGTCGGTTGTTATGCTATGCTACGTGCTATGTTGTCCTCAACTGTGATCAGCAAACTGCAAAGTTTACACTTGAGTTTTTTGGCCGTCCACTTGAACAAATCTGTGTCTGGAGCTTCACCGACAACTGTTCTGACCCAGCGTTGGTTAGTTTGGAGCCAACTCTGACTAAACGCTGAGTAAATGTTAACATTAGACCTCACAGTCTCCACAAGGTTGGACAAGATCCAAGTCAAGGAAATGCGGGGGTGTTCACAGGTATTTTTCTTCTTCTTACTGC